GTCAAGGTCTGTTCCCTTGAGATACTTACTTAACCACAAAGGGGGAGATGATAGTGGAGGAAGCTGGCAGACACTTGTGACTGAGTGATCCAAGTTCCCATCGCCAGTTATGGGGTAGATTAGCATCAGGGACCCCCAAGCACTGCAATGCACAGAGAACAATACTAACTTATTTTCTCACTTTAGACACCTTTTACCCCTCTTAACCCTCTTTCACCAGTTTTATCTCTGGGTCAGTCCTGCTCTTTGCCAGGAGTGACATGGTCAGATTCCCATATTTCAAATATGGCTGTAGCCACAAAGAGAGCTTTGACTGAAGGGGAGGAGAACTGGATCAGGGACACTGAGTTCATAGTTCCCAAGTCTGATGGTGCTGACACCTGCTTTTTGTCCAGCCTTCCTCTCCAGGGATGCATCTGTGTGGGTGCCTGTCTCATCCCCCATCCTCATGTTCCCATCTTCTCTGCATCCCCCAGACTTCTTTATTGGACAGGGCTGCTCTATCACTAGTGCTCCTTCCCTGGGTGTCCCTCTCACTCTCCCACCCCCCATCCTCATCATTAACCCCTGGTCCCCTTTGTGGACCTCCCTACCCAATTCTGTCACCGTTTTAGGTTGTGGCTGAAGCTCTGACTGACATGGATTAGGATCTGAATCAGGCAGTCAGGAGTAGGGTGTGTATCTGCATCTGTGTCTGGGAGCAGCAGCCCCACATGAGGCAAACTGCAGCCTGCCATCGCTGCTCTTCCCCTTCCATACCTGCCTATCCTGGTCCCACCCAGGGTCTTTTTTTTTTTTTAAAGATTATTTTATTTATTGAAAGGCAGAGTTAGAGGGAGAGTCAGAGAAAGAAGTCTTCCATCCACAGATTCACTTCCGATGTGGCTGCAACAGCCAGGGCTGGGTCAGGCCAAAGCCAGGAGCCCTATCTGGGTCTCCCATATGGGTGCAGGGACCCAAGGACTTTGGCCATCCTCTGCTGCTTTCCCAGGTGCATCAGCAGGGAGCTGTATTGGAAGTGGAACAGCCGAGACTCAAACCGGTGCCTGTGTACCATGCTGGCATTGCAAGTGGCAGCTTAACCCACTGTGCCATAACACTGGCCCCCGCCCAGTGTCTTATTTTGCCTACCCACCTCCTTCAGCCTAGCTGCTCTCACAGTGAACTCAGTGCTGGGTTCGTCCTCAGACCTGTGCCCTGAGGGATGCCCAACAGTCAGAATCTGGATGCCTGCCACATCCCTTCTCCTGGTAGCCCTCACTGAAGAGCCAGTCAGCCCAGACACCCTCCTCTGAGCAGAGTGAGCCCAGCTGGGCTTCGCCTCTGCCTCCCAGCCCTTTCCTGTAAATGCACTCACAGCCAGGAGGGGTGCCATATTAAATCAAGACTGATGGAAACCAGTGTCTGTGATTATCCAGCCAAGATGCAGCATGGGAAGCTGGTTGCTGCCAGCTCCAGGTGAGGGCTTCTGAAGTTAATTGCATGTGGCTTTTATTAAGATGACCATTCCCCGACTCCTGCTCTTCTGGGTGGCTCCTTCATGGTGCCTTTCTCAGGCCAGCCCCTCTGCTATTGCAGGCTGGGTTACTGCCCTGTCTTCCTCAGCAGAACCCCATCAAGGCAGAGCCTTGAGCTCAGTCCTGTATCCTTCCTCCCCATCTTCTCAAAGAGCCAGGACAGTAGGAGCCTACATTTATGGAGCCCTTATCAAACTCTTTCCCTCATCATTTTTTCTCCTTTCCCCAAGTAGAATGTATACAAACCATGAATTTTCCTTCTCTGGTTTCCTGTACTGGCTAGGCTTTGCAAGATATGGCTAATGGCTCAGGCTTTTAAAAATCTTTCATTCAGTCAACACATATCTTAGTACAGATGCTGTACTCAGCATTGGGTAAAGAACATGAAGCAGTAACTTTGAACCTGGTTCAGTCCAGTGTGCTGTATGTTTCTGTCAAGAGTCTAATCCATTTTCAGAGGATTTTCTGAATTATTGTAGATATTTGGGACTTCAGGTTGGGGAAAATCAGATGCACTCAGAAATTTAGGCCATAATTTGAGCCATATTTAAGACCACCACCTAGAAGCTTCTAAGGAACCAACCACCCTACCCCAGCCATCCTACTCATCCCCAGTAAAGTCAAGGGCCCTGCCTCTTGCCCAAGAAAGTAACAGGAATCTTATGAAACCTAAAATGATGGCACTGAAGAACACTGCAGGAGACAGAAATGTTTGCCTAGAGAGACATAGGGGGCCCCTGATAGTTGTACCCTAATCCATAAAGTGGAAAGAAAAGTCATGTTCAGCCTTCCCTGTGGCAAAAGGAGAGAGCAGGTTCTGTGGGACCCAACGGCCCAGTGAGTGGGAAGTACCTAGAGGTGGAATTCTCCTCCATGTAAGGAAAACTGAGATGTGAGCCATCTCCAGAGCCCAGTTGGTGTTGAAACTGTCCCCTGCAGAGCTCTGCTCCCTGGAGCAGGGAGCCTCAAGGGCCACTCTGCGGTGGAGGGGGCATCCTGTGGACCTGGCTCCTGACTTGAGGCCAGAGCAACTTTTTCTTTTATCTATGGAGTTCTGCCCATGATTAAATTAATTAGAGGGGTTCCAGTGCCCAGAACTCACTGGGTTAGGTGATCTGTTACCAAAATGTAGTACAGAAGGAGGGTAACATGGCAAAGGCTCAGTAAGGGCAAAGCATTTTGTTAGTCCTTGGAGTCACATGGGACCACCTGTTACACATGTGTGCACTTGCCTTGGGCCACAGTCTGCTGCACACTCGATGGCATTATCTCATTTCATCCTCGCCAGCGTCCCACAGGAGCCTTCAAGTGAAGTATGAGTGCTGTCCCTGTGGACTGACCACAGGTTGCTGGCTGGTGAGTAGGGAAGGTAAGGGCTGAACGCACATCTGTCTGAAGCAAAACTTCTCTCTGCTGCTCAGCCTGCCTTACCAAGACCCAAAAGGGGAGCCAGACTTCAGATGGGGAGTGACTGGGAATTAAACAAGACACTGTGCATCAAGTGCTGAGTAGAGTGCCAGGCACACAGCTGCCATTCCACAAACGGTAGTTCCCTTCCTTCGGTTAGCAGCATGTACTGACTACCCTGGGAGCCTGACCCTGTGCTGGTGCCAGAGCCACAGAGATGGAGGAAACATGGTCTTTGTAACTAATACCCATGGTTGAGTAAAGAAAGACAATCAAGAAGTTAGGCACTCCAGAGGTCCAGGGGCTGGGGCCAGCACAGAGCCCTCCCGCAGGCTCCACAGACAGTGCCACATTCAAAGGGTGGATACCATGGCACTGAGAGATTGCTGTGTATAAAGAAGACTTTTTTAAAAAGATTAATTTTATATTTGAAAGGCAGAGTTAGAGGAGGGGAGAGAAATAGATCTTCCATCTGTTGGTTCACTCCCCAAATGATTGCAATGGCCAGGACTGGGCTAGGCCAAAGCCAGGAGCTTCTTCCGGGTCTCCCACCTGGGTGCAGGGGCCCAAGCACTTTGGGCCATCTTCCCCTGCTTTCCCAGGCCATTAACAGGGAGCTGGATCAGAAGTGGAGCAGCCAGGACTCGAACCTGCACCCATATGGGATGCCAGCATTGCAGGCAGCGGATCAACCCATTAGGCCACAACGCCGGCCCCTAGAGAAGACTAGTGTGGAGTACAGTGTGAGCAAAGGCCCAGAGGTCAGAATACTCTGAGACCCCTCACTGAGGGGAGGGCGGAAACCAACTCAACAAGTCCTTGCAAGCCAGCTTCCCCTTCAGGCTCCTTGCATCGCCTGCCCTCCTGCAGGCTGGCACTGCCCCAGCCAGCGTGTGCTCGTCTCACCATCAGATAGCTCTCTGGCCCAGTGGACCCGAGTGCTGAGTGGGGCTTGGTGGGCAGGGAGGAGGAAGAGGCAGATATATGGCTGGAGTCGGCTGAGCCAGGTGATGTATGTGGCGCCTGAGGGAGCTACACAGTGGCACTGTGGATTCCAGCCGGCAAGCGTCGCTCCACTGGGATTGGCGCCGACTTATTGCTCCATATGAAACCCCGGGACTGATGGGAGCTTTCAGTTACAGACTGATAGCAACAGCCAAAATTGGATTGTTTGCTATTTATTTTTTTTAACTTCTGTCAAGGTCACTACCGTAACAGGAAAACACTGCCCAAGCAGCAGGTATTTTTCATCCACTCTGCCTGCAAGAGCAATCTGCAGCTGCAACTTTTGTGACAGGGCCTTACTTGACGCCTCTGTTTCTAGAAAGATGTCCATGTCACAGAGGCCTGGGGAAAGGAGCCTCCCAAAGACATGGTCTTCCCTTCCCAGTCCACAGTCTGCTTCCTTTGTCATGCCCACCCCAGCTCCTGACCTCCATAAATGCTTGACCATCAGACCCCTGCCTTTCCCCTCCCTCCTCTTCTCCAGACCATCCACAGCTCCCTGCCCAGGCCTCCAGAGTCTTCAGGCCCTGTCTCCCAGGAAGCCCCAGTCCCAGGGCTGCACCTTCAGTGCTTTTCTCTTCTGTGCCCGTGTACCTCCCTCTGAACTGTCTCCTCTGAATTCAGTGTTGCAAACATTCACCAGATGCCCCAGCTGTGCTGGGAGCAGCAAGGAGGAAAAGATGCGGCCTGCCCTCAGGGAGCTCCTCAGTGTTGGAGGACAGACGCACAGCAAGCTTGTTGCAGGTAGTTGTGTTTTTAGTGAAAGGCACAGTCCTGGAGATGAGCTCTGAAACCGAAGGGAAAAGGCTGGTTCTTGGGTATTTGTGGTATTTGTGTGCAAGCCCTGCCTCGCGGCCTCCTCACTGGGTGCTCCCCAGGGGTAAGGCCTGGCACCCCTTCCTCACAGCGTGACCAAGGGCTGGACCAGCCGCAGTGGGCCAGGGAGCCAGAGCTGTGCAGCAGGACCCTTGAGCCCCAAACCTGTGTTTCTGCCTAGAGTTGCAGGATAGAAGGGAACTGGGGTCCCACCGGGCCTGGCACCCCTGAGCCATTTGCCCTCTCTGCCCACAGTACCAGGAGAAGCAGCGAAAGCGTGAGGCTGAGGAGCGGCGCCGCTTCCCCCTGGAGCAGCGACTGAGAGAGCACATCATTGGCCAGGAGAGCGCCATCACCACCGTGGGTGCCGGTGAGTACATGGGCGCCCGGCAGTGCCAGGAAGGGCCGGCCAGCAGCTTCTCTGCTGCCGTGTGCCGTCCACCTGCTGTCACGGCCTGGAAGAGAGGTGCGCTTGTGATGTTAACATTCATAGAGTTCTGCCTGTGTGCCAGGCGTCAGGGTAAGCTCCGCATACCCTGGGTCATTTAATCCTGACGGCCACCTTATGAGGGTGGGCCCATCAAATCCCTGCTTTACGGATGAAGATGCTGGCACGTGAACACTGGTACGTGACACTTACGTAATTTGCTCAAGGCTGTTTAGAACTTAGCCGACCTTCGTCTAGTCACTGCCCCTGCTGAAAGAACTGTGACCGGAGTGGGGCTTGGGGGTGGGGAGGGTGTGAGTTGTCCGTCACTAGTAAGGCAGCCGTAGAAGCAGCCCTAGAATTGTGTCTCTGTCTGCCAGGCCAGGGCCTCTCCATCACTTCAGTGTCGTTTGTCAGCAGCAGACCCAGTTTGAAGCAGAACCCCTGGGCCACTTCTGGGTACTTCTCCACCCTTAGAACTTAATTCCATTCTTTGACCCCCAGGAGCCAGGCTGCCCTTTCGTGTAGCCCTAATCTAATGGGGCTCTGCTAACGTCAGTGGATGCACCTGTGCTCTCCACTTCTGCTGATGCCTCCCTGGGGTGTTGTCACACTGCTGGGTGAGGAAAGAGGAGCCCCGGGCCAGGCTGAGACAGGTCTCCCCCAAGGCCCTGTTTCTTCAGGCGTGGTCTTTAGACCAGCCGCATTAGTGTCCTCTGGGCACTGGTGAGAAGTCAGAGCTCGGGCCTCCCCCAGCAGCTGTGGAATCACAAACTCCAGGTTCTGTGTTCTAGCAGCCCTTTCCAACAACTCTGACACCCGGCTGAGGGTTAAAAACCACTGCCCCAAGATGTCTGGCTCAGCCCAGCAGCTGTGGGGACGCACCAGGTTCTTCTCACTGAGAAGAGCCATGGGGCTGAGAGTATGGCTGTTCCCCTGGGACGTTCTGGGCCCTGGGATACCCATTAGAGAAATGCCAGTGTCCACCCCACAACACACCAGGCCCAGCCTGATCTCCATCATCCACATAGAGGGATTGCGAGCCCTCATCAGGGGCCTGACCCCGACAGCAGATAAAAGAAGTCCACAGACCAGGCTGCCTCCCCAGCAAGCGACAGTCTGCCTCGGCATACACAGGAGCCTCATCCAGGCCAGCTTTGAATACGCAGGGCCATACTGCTCAGACGCAGATCACAGCAGGCTGACTGTGTGGTGTGGGTATGAACAGCCACCCACACTCCTTTGCCACAGCTGTGTCTGAGGTGGAGGGAGGGGAGACAGGGCGCTCTCACGGTTTGGGAGGAAAGGAGAAGCCCACAGGACAGACAGAGCACCTGGGTGCAGGTCTGAGAAAGCATCTGTGGCTGAAGCCTCGTGTGCTCTAGGGCCAGGGCCTTGGCCGCCATCATGGTGCTGTCCCTTCCTGGCAGGCTGCTGGCTGCCCTCAGACCTCTCACTTCTCACCAGCTCTCAAGTCTGTCCCTTGATGGGATGCACACCAGAAGTAGGCTCTGCGGGGGCCACTGAGATAGGACACGTGAGGCCAGCTTGGGCTCACAACAGACCTGCCACTTGTCAGCTCTGCCACCTGCCCTCCTCCCTCGGCTGCTTTGAGCATGAGTTTCCTCGCATATGCAGTGAAGCACTAAATCCTAGACTGACTAAATCTAAAAGCACGTGCTCTTCCTGTGTGTGCCAGACAGCAAGTCCCTGTCCTCACAGTGTTTGTGAGGTCAAGCCCACAGCTCTCGCCTTGAACCTAGGACTGTTCCCTACTCCCAGCCCCAGCTCACCCTGCTGCTGGCCCCGGGCTGACCTCTGAGGCATCCCCTGCTCTCTCCCCTCGCTGTTGGCCCAGGGCAGGTGTTTCCCTGCCCACCTCCCTGAGCTGTCAGAGTGCACCCTCAGTGCTTCCTTCTGCCACCTGAGAGCTCTCGAGGAAGGCCCTGTGCCTTGTACTTCGCTGTGGGCCAGTGACCCTGGAGAAGACAGGAGGGCCCTTGGAGCCTGGATTGTGGAGTGCTTCCACTTGTAGGGCAGCGGCTGTGCGCCCACCCTGCTGAGCAGCGCTGCAGCTCGGGTACTCTTGACGTTCAGAATCACAGTCAGTCCCTGGGTCAGCTACCCGTGGCTCTGGACCCAGGCCTGAGGTACTCCCTGGGTCAGCATTTGTGGTAGGCGGGCAACACCTGGGATCTCAAGATCTCAGAACTGAAGCAGACACAGGAGAGTGGTACGGGACTAGAGGCTGGGCAGGCCTCCACAGGTCCGTTAAGTTAGTGTCAGACGTGTGCTAGGACTGGTTGGAAGGAGCCTGGCACCCCATGGGTGCCATGAGGATGGGCAGCCAGAGAAGTGCCGCAGAATGAATTGATTTGATAAATGGCCATTTATTACCCTCTCGAATTGGCTGAAACCAATTTCGGTCACATCAACCCCTGGTAAGTGCTGGGATATTGATTTGTGCAAAGTAATACAGTGAATTTATCAGTGTGATCCCCAGCTGCAGGGCCTCTAGCAAGGCCGGCGCTCAGTTACCGCCTTACAAATGGAGGAGATAAAGTACCAGCCCCACAGCCCAGGCCCCACGGCCTCTCGGTCTGCTAGGGTCATCAGAGCCCAAGCAGAGCCAGCCCACACGCCACATACCACACACCAGAGCCTGGGTGCTGAAAGGAAGGCTCTCCTTCCAGAGTCCGCCGCTGGTCACGGGGAAGGCAGAATGCCTACCTGTCGGGCAGACCACCTCCATCCTCCCTGGAGAAGAGCCAGCTGTCTCTCTTGAGCACATGGGGAACTAGGCTACCTCCTGTGTTCTTGGCCACCAGTCAGTGTCTCCGAATTAGAAGAGCAGACATTTCTTTGATCCCTCCCTTTCCCCTTAGCCCCTACTAGCATCAGGTGTCAAGTTCTGTCAGTCAACTGGTTCTCAAACCTGGCCTCTCCCCTTCGCTCCCAATGCCACTACCCCAGCTCAGCACATCAGTATCTCTTGTCTGAACCACAGCAGTGACCTTCTTGCTGGCCCTTCCGCCTCCTTTCCTTCCCCTGAAATCAGTTCTCACCACCACCAGGAGTGATCTTTAAAAAGCACGAATCTAACCGTGCCTGTCCTGCCTACACCCACCGCGTGGTCTCGCTGCCCTAACCTGGCCCTGCAGCCGCTGGCCGGCTCTGTCCTGCTCGCAGCAGCCTGCCCTGCCTCCCACACACGCAGTGGCAGTCCCCTCCCTGCGCTCGCCACTGCCGCCCTCGCCGCTGGCAGTTCTTTCTCTCCTGGCCCATCTCCACACTGGCTGGTTTCTCACTTGGCCTCGCCTTGCTTAGTTCAGGAGCAGTTGACTGTGAACTCCTTGGGGACAGATACCAAGACTTAATCATTTGTTTGGTGTTTTTTTTTTTTTCACCCCAATTCCTGGCCCTGATTAGGTGCTTAATGCAGTTTGTCGAATTAATTGATGTGGAACGGCCCCTCGCCCATCTCTGATGTGCTCTGAGGAGAGGGGAAGAGCTGTAGCACCTGCCTGCCAGCAGCTCACAAGCATGATGGGAATGCGTCTGTACTCCCTGATCTGTGACAGGGAGCAGCCATTCCCCACACAGGTCATTCCCACACACCTGACAGCCTGCTGGAGCTCCCTGCGACCCCCAGCCACTGTACCTGGTCACAGTGGGCCCTGTGAAGCCCCTGCACCTCCTTGGGGAGGCCCTACCACCGTGGCCGCTCTCCTGTTCCCAGCTGCAGCCCGGGTCACGGCAGGGCTTATATTTCTTGCTTCGCTTCCCTCAGCAACCCCTCACAAAACATAAGCTCCTCGAGTTGTGCACTTCCCTGGGCGCCCTCTGAGGCCAGGTGTCTGATCGGAGAGGTGCACGCAGGTCAGCCCTGAGCTGTGGAGTGGCAGTGATGAGCTCACAACACAGCTCGCACTCCGCTGGCCGCCTGCTGTCCCAGGCGCTCCGCTGGGATTCAGGGCTCTTTCTCTGGGCTTCCTGTGATCACTTCAACACCGCACCTACCTCATGGTACCAACCATGTTTGTAGATCCTCCTCACTCCAAGGCCAGGAAATACCCTCATCAGCTCTGTCCCCCAGGGTTGAGCACATGGGTGCCTGGAAGGTTGGTGAACCCAAAACGATGAAGTCTGAACTCATTTTGACATTGCTGATAGGCGCTTTGACAACGCTTAGCTGTGGGAGTGCCGTTGAAGGCCTGCTCCTCCAAGGAGGTGCCACAGCCTGAAACAAGACTGTTCCCAGCTTTGGTCTCAGCCCACTGAGACTCTCCAGAACCTTGAGCTGCGCATAGGCAAAGGATGGGGTGGGGGGACAGCTCTCAGCTGTCCCTGGTTTCGCACACACTGAGTGTCCTGTTGTACCTCCACCTGCCCAGCAGTCTGCCCCTCGTCCTCAGGTATAGGCATCAGCTGGGTACAGATAAGTCTTCCCAGACTTCTCAGTGCACCTGTCCACTTTGCACCCCGAGATTTCCCAGCAGCACGCACTTTGGGCGCCCTGCACCTGGCACACAGCTTGTTTGATGAACAGATGCCTGAGGCTCCCTGGAAAGGGGTTCAGTAACCACCTGGAGTGCCAAGAGACGCTTGAGGCCAGCCTCCTCCTGTCTGGTGTAAAATGGGAGATGAAATACCTGTTCTTCCTTCCTGAGGTTCTATAGAGATCAAGAAATCATTCCTTTGGTCAGCAATTCTTAAATCTTTGCTGGGCTCCCCACAGAGGTCCCTCTGCCCCCTTGATGTGTGAGCCTCGACAGGTGGAAGCCCTCTTCACTGCACCTCTCTGAGCCCAGAGACGGAACCAGCTTCTCAGGATCACCAGGACCTGTGACATAGCCTGGCCAGTGACTGCTGCCACTCTGGCTGCCATCATTTGGAGTTCGACTATTCCACCCTTGCAACTTCCAAAAAGGTTTCATAACCTTTTTAAGCTTCCCATTTTATTGATGAAGAAACTGAGGCTCTAAAGGAATGAGTGTTTTACTTAAAGTCAGTCAACTAGTAAGTGACAGAGGTAGGATTCCCGGCTAGATCCTGTACTCCTCCCCTCTCCACTGTCCCACTCAGTCGATGAACACGTACCCAGAGTTGATGGAGTGGGTGTGGCATGGCGGAGTTCATGGGAGTTCTGTAGTCCAGTAGTGACAGGCGCGGACAGGAGAGGACTCTTGTGAGGGACGGAACACCAGCAAGGCAGGTCCTGCACAGCATGTGAGGAGGCAGAGGGGCCTGGCTGGAGCTTATAGACAAGGGGACCAGCCAGGGAAGGGCCATGCTGCCCGTGCACAAAACCCTGACACTGCCAGTCAGGGACAGGGCTCCTGAGGCCCACATATTAAATGGCTGAGTGAGCCAGACTGGAAGACTGCAGAGGAAACATTTTCCTGGGGAGGCCAGGGTACGAGCAGGTACAGGGGCAGCAGAGGGCCTGTGGGGAGAGCGGACTGCCTTCCCTGAGCTCCTGAAGTGCCAGCTCGGAGTTGCACTCAGTGCCCAGCATCTCCTTGAGCAGGTTACCTAGCTTCTTCGTTCATAGTTCTTCCTCTGTACAGTGGAATCGAGTTCCCTGGCCTGCTCACCTCACGTGATCACGACGAGGCAGAGGTGCCTTACAGACTGTGAAGCGCTAGCCGCGTAAGCTGTGCTTTTGCTGGTCCACAGTGAGCCCTGACTCTGGACGTTCCACACAGGCCCATCCAGGTCTCTGCCCAGCCTCCCTGGGCAGAATCCTCCAGGCTCCCAGCCTTGGTCCTCAGGCCCCTGCCAGCCACACACACGGGGGCTCGCCTTCCCCAGTCCCCCAGTCTATCTTGGCTACTTCCATTTTTCATTCTGTCGGACTCCATCTGCTTGGCCGTTTTTCTCTTCAGATATTATTAGCAATATCCAGAGTTGTAATTGTTTAATGGTTGGCATTTCTCCGGTTTCATGGGGGGCCCAGATCAAGCCCACCCCAGACTTGTGCCCTGGGTCTGGCAGAATTGACCAGGGACAGCTGTGCAGTGGAGTCTGCCCAGCATTATAAAGAGCTCTCTCCCAGGTGCATTATTAGAAAAGAAGAGGGAGAGATGGCCCCAGGCAGAATGCAGTTCCACATTCTCCATGGTGTTCTGTACTGCACAGCCCAGCAGGTGCGGCTCTGAGTGGGCTGGGCTGGGCGCCTCAGGTCCCTGATACCCTGGGAAGCCCCGTCCCCACCAGGCCCCCTCTGAGCAGTGTCTGGGTACTTCTCTCTCCCCAGATGCCCAAGGAGCCTGAACCCAGGTCATGCTTGGCTTCTTCCAAAGCCAGATGCCCAATTGAGGCAACTTTTGGGAGAGTATGGCTCCTTTCAGATGATCCATCTCTCGCCACTCCGGCACACAGACTTGTCCACACCTGGGACTCAGGAAAGTCTGACCTTTGCCATTTGAATACCTCTGTTGCCCTGAAAACCCACTCTGTCAGCTCCCTGGTTCTGCTCTTGGACACCAAGAACTGCCCTCAGCCAGGCTTGTACTTCCCCCCTTCAGCCCCAGCACTCAAATACCCAGGAGGTCTGTGGGTTCCCCTCATAGCCAACTCTTCCATAGAAGCCAGGCCAGTTAGTTGGGGAAGATACAGGCCCTAGTCAGAGAAGAGGGCCTGAGTGTTTTCCGAAGCCCCTTTCAGCGTCTCCAGGGAGCACTTCCTGGGAGGCACAAGTGGCTCAGCCATGCCCATGAAGTTGCAGGGTTTCCATCCTGCTGAGGCCAGAACTGGAGAGGAAGTAGCACATTAGAAGTGAGCAAGACCACAGGCATGATGCTGAGCTCCTAGGACAGGTAATGCAGACCTTCATACAGTGATCCTCGCCGCTCCACCCATGCCAGCCACCTTGTCCTGCCTAGTCCTACCCAGCCTCCCATAGCCTCTTCCTGAGAGTCCTTCCCGACCTCTGCAGCTGCCCCTTTGAAACGCTGTCACACAACTTAGCATTTACACATTGGCAGATGCATCCCTAAGACTGTCAGCTCTCCATTGACAAGGCTCCCAGGCTTGTCCACTAACTATCCCTTTGCTAATCTCCCCTGACCCTCTGGGACCAGAGCAGACATGCTGTGCTCTTCCGTCTGCTGACTAACCTTGACCTTACAGGGTTCTGTCCCCTTCCTGCTCCAGACTGCTGTATTTCCATTAATGCAACCCAAATTGGTACGCACGTTCCTAAGAAGCCACAAGTGATTTTTAAGAAGACTGATTGCAAGAGAGAAGCAACCCTACCTCCTGCTGGTTGCGTGACTTGGACAAGCCTCTTTGTCCATTCCTCAGTTTCTTCTTCAGTATAACGGAGTTGAGAATACTTTCCTCAGGTTGTCTGTGTGGGTCTCGAGCAAACGTACTGTCAGTGTCCCATGTCTGCCCAGCATACAACGTGTTCAAGAAATTCTTCTTCCTTTTATGGTCTGCCTCGCTCTACTTCCTGCTCTTATACTTGGGTGATACTTCTGGGCCTGATTCTCCTGCTCCAGAGTTGAACAGTAGTTTCTCACTTTGGATACTTAGTGCTTGATTACATCCTTCCTAAAGAGGTCAGATCTTGCTCTAGAAGAGTTGAGCCCCCAGAGAACCTGGTACACACCTGTCCACTCCCTGCCTACCCCCTCCACACTAGAAGTTGTGATTAGCAATGTGCTAACCAAGTGGCTTACCCCTTCGATGCCCTGAGCTCCACATCACCTTTAATTGGCTTCTAGAAAATGCATCAGCCTGTTTCCTCTTCCTGATCCAGACAGCAGACAGACCTTGGCTTCCCCCAAATGAGGAAGAGTTCAGAGCTCACACCCCATGTCCCCCCAGGGGCCTGCCGTGGGTTTCTGCCTCTTGCGTTCGCGTAGAACACAGGCCCACACTCCCACTGCTGGGGATAGAAGGTAACCAGAGAGCCCAAGTTCCTCACAATTTCTCCTTCATCAGCCCCTCCAACCCCCCCCACCTCCACTCCCCCATCCTCCCGCCTTTCAGTTTCCCTGGCAACGCTGAGTGCTCATCCTGGAAAACTTTATCCGAAATCTGCTCTGGGCAGCCTTCCAAATCCATGCTAACCTGATTAGGTGTCTCTAGGGGCCTTGCCAGCTAATCAGATTAGGCAGCACTAATGGTAGTGAGGACTTTGAGTGGGCGCAGAGCAGTAAAACATATTGTATACTTAGTGATAATTATCCTGCCTTTTGTGTCATTGATTTATCTGCCTCCCGCCCTGTCCCCCCATCATCTGTGTTTGGCCATAGCGATCCGGAGGAAGGAGAATGGCTGGTACGATGAAGAACACCCTCTGGTCTTCCTCTTCTTGGGATCATCTGGAATAGGTAATTGGGAGCAGAACAGGCACTGGGGAGGGAGGGCTGCGGGTATGCCTAGCCTAGGCCTGAGAGCCCCAGCTGCTGTGGGCCAGGGTCATGCTACACGCCTCCAGTTCAACTCCCAGCTCCAGAAGCAACTGCCTCCAAATTACAGGGCCACCACCAAAAAAGAGAACTGTTTTTTATCATCTGTCACGTTTTGAGTAGCAGGACTTAAGGCCCCCTCTGGGGACTGGGGGCAAGGACTAATTCACCTGGAGGAGCAGGCCTTTTAGGGTGTGTTAGCTCTGGTCCAGCCACTCCGTGTCCCCAGAGGCTCCCCTTGGGGAGCAGTTGAACTGCCTCAGCTGCCCAGCATACCAACTGGATTCCTGGCAGCTCAGCTTTAAGAAGCTAGAGAAAGCCCTGATGACCAGGTCAGTGTCAGGTGCACAGAACCGGTTGCAGTAAAATGGGTTGGGTGCTTTTCTGGCCAGTTGTGCCGGACGGCCTGGGTCATTCTCTCTCCCTTACTCTGTGCCCTCGTAGACCGCCCCTTCACCTCCACCACCACCCACCCTTGTTCTGATGGGAAATTGCATGGTTGAGTTGTCTGCTCTACCCTCCCAGCATCTTCACAGCCCACCTTTCCCTGTGATGTGGGATCCCAAAGGCTTACCACACCTGACCATGGTGCTGGGGACTGTGACTTTTGTACCACACAGTGACTTCACACCAAGTGGCTCTTAGAGCCACCACTTAGCTGTTGTCACTCTTCGTTACAAAGAAGCCAGGGAGAGGTGCTCTTGGTCTCTTCCCTTCCTCTGCTTGTCCTGTGGTTCCAGGGCCGACCGAATGGCAGGGCCGTGGGCACCGAGAGCGATGCTGCCAGGCGAGGGGAGGTGTGTGCTGGGACTCAGGACAGGCTGGCTCTGGCTTGGGAGATTCAGCCTCCCACACCTAAGATGGTGCCGCAGAAAAGTCAGTTGCAACTCAGAATGTGATTCTGGCCCCGGCTTCTCCATATTCCCTCGGTGACTTCAGGAGAGTCACCAGCCCTCCCTGGGCCTCAGGATTCCCATTCATAAAATACATTCTTTCCACCATGCTGCATATCATCCCTCCAAGAGAGCGTCATCTGCCCCTGACCCAGCTCCTCTCCCTTCTTTCTTAACAGGGAAAACAGAGCTGGCCAAGCAGACAGCCAAGTATATGCACAAAGATGCCAAAAAGGTAAGGCCTGGTCTTCAGGCTGAGACCCAGTCACTCCTGCTGCCCCCCAAAATCTGAGAATCTGAATCTAACGCCTGCAGTCAGCAAGACGGGCCATGACTGGGAGCAGACCCAGCTCTGGCCCCAGTGTTGCCCCAAATTGCTCCAGGAGTTCGGGTAAATTATTCAACCTGTATGCCTTAGTTTCTTCACCTATAAAATGGGAATAATAATCCTTCCTCTGCCTGACTCTTGGGAAAACCAAGTGAGATTCCTCCACACATTTTCAAACATTTGCCCTGTGCCAGGTGTTGTACTGGAGACTGCTAAAACATTTATTAAAACACTGTTCTGGGCCAGTGCTGTGGCTCACTAGGCTAATCCTCTGCCTGCGGCGCCGGCACACCGGGTTCTAGTCCCAGTCAGGGCACTGGATTCTGTCCCGGTTGCCCCTCTTCCAGGCAGCTCTCTGCTGTGGCCCGGGAGTGCAGTGGAGGATGGCCCAAGGCCTTGGGCCCTGCACCCGTGTGGGAGACCAGGAGAAGCACCTGGCTCCTGCCTTCGGATCAGCGCGGTGCAGCGGCCATTGGAGGGTGAACCAACAGTAAAGGAAGACCTTTCTCTCTCTCTCTCTCTCATTGTCCGCTCTGCCTGTCAAAAAAAAAAACAACAACAACAACAAAAAAAACCACTGTTCTGCCCTGCCCTGAAGAGTCCAGGCTAGAGAGGGAAGCAGCTTCAAAAATACAAAGTCACTGCCCAGTGCCACCATGCTGTGCCTAACGGAGGCTTGGGGCTGAAAGAGAAAGCGTGTAGAAGTAACAGGGTGCTTTATTTTCCTGTCTGCATCCCACACAACCTTGTACACAGGTGAGCTTGTGGTACTGATCATCCTCTTCCCCCTCCCGTGGCCCAGGGCTCTGGGTTCTCCACACGTGGGAAAGGGCCACGCCACCCCACCCCACCCCACCCCACCCTGTGTGTTCTCTCTGACTAGCCAAGGCTCGCTAAGTTGGACTTTCTGGGCTGATGGGAAATGCTTTCTCGTGGAGAGCACCCTCCTCAGAGAGGATGCAGAAACATTTCAATGAAGGCCAAAAAAGGCTGGTGGAGAGTTCCCACCAGCCTTCCCAGTTTGGGGGGGCTAAGACCCCAGCTGTTCTTGCCTGGCTTCTTGGAAAGCCTGCCCAGCCAAGGCCACGAGCAGTTGCTTTGGCTGCTGCCAGCCAAGTGGCCCCAGCCGCATAGAGTCCTGGACCCCACTTCTCATCTAGCCACCCCCTTGCCACCTCAGTCTGCATCCTCCTGAGTCCCCTTCCGTCTAAGAACTGGCTGAAGGCTCAGAGCATAGCTTCCCTGGCGCTGCCGCTGCCAAACCCAGAGCAGAGCCACCGGACAGGCGGGCGGGCGGCGCGTGGCATGCTAATAGGCTCCCGCAGAAAGAGCGCTTGTAAGACCATTCATCAGGTTGGCAGCGACTGAAACAATTAGCACTCTGGAAAGGGCCATAAACTAGCAAGACTATTAGGGAAGATGCAGTTACGGGCAGGAACCACCTGATTAGGGATGAAGAATTCTGAGTGGTTTAATTTTAATACTGTCAGAAAGGTTAATATTTAATTACAAATTATAATCTCCTTATCCAAGCTGTCTTAATATGTCTTCATGCAGTGGAAGTGGAAGGCAAGTATCTGCTGACTTGCTGGTGCAGAAAGGAGAGGAGGGGCCTGTTAAAGGCTGGCGGTGGTTTTTCAGTTAGCATCTGAATGGGAGACAGGTTCCCCGCCCCCGGCAGGGCAACCTTCCCCAGCTGGAAGTAACACCGGCACTGCCTGGAGGCTGTGGACAAGGCGGATGAGGCTCTGGAGCCAGCCAGCCGTGCCTTTTTTTTTTTTTAAAAGATTTATTTACTTGAAAGAGTTACACAGAGAAGGAAAGGGGTCTTCCATCCGTTGGCTCACTCCCTAGTTGGCCATAATGGCCAGAGCTGAGCTGATCCGAAGCCAGAAGCCAAGAGCTTCTTCTGGGTCTCCCGCGTGGGTGCAGGGGCCCAAGGACTTGGGCCATCTTCTACTGCTTTCCCAGGCCACAGCAGAGAGCTGGATCAGAAGTGGAGCAGCCTAGACTCAAACCGGCACCCATATGGAATGCTGGCATTGCAGGCGGCAGTTTTACCCGCTACACCACAGCGCCGGTCCCTCAAGTTACAGTTCTTGCTCCTGGCTCTTGCCTCAGGGGAAACGCTGCAGTCCTATAGTTAAGATTGTTGTTAGCCTCAGGTGACAGAATGCAAACTGCAGCTGGCTGGGGTGCTAGGCATAGCAATGCCCGTTCCCTTGGCTCACATTTATTCATTGCTGCCTGCTTTGCACAGCTGTATCCCATCTGCGAACCCTCTTATTTGATCCTATGAGAAAGATAGCATAGATGCTAAATTAGACCCATTTTCAGATGAGAAAACTGAGGTCCTGCAGTATTGAGAGACTTGTCTAAGGTCACTTGTTAGAAGAAGTCAAACCAGAACCTGGTTTTCTAATTTCTCTCTCAATACCACTGTTCTCAGCAGCTCTGGGAGGCTGGATTGTAAGTTTGTCCCTGTTTTTCCCAGGGAACTAAGAGGCCCAATAAAACCGTCTGTGTATTTTTATTTGAGAGGCAGAGAGACAGGGAAGAAGCTTGCATCCACTTACTCACTCCCCCAGAGCCCATGATGGCCAGGACTGGGCTATGCCAGTGCTGGGAGCTGAGAACTCAATCCAGGTCCTACATAGGTAACAGGGAGCCACCTACTAGAGCCAATACCTGCCGCTTCCCAGGGTGTGCACTGCCAGGAAGCAGCAAGTGGAGCTAGCTGGGACATGCCAGGACGGGATGTGGGCATCCCCACCCAGAGCCTTAACTGCAGGGCCAAATGCCTGCCCTTGTGTTGTGTTTCAAATCATAGGCAACCACTGATGGTGACTACCTGTCCCACTTGGTGGACAGTCACCCCGACAAGTTCACTGTTGTAATAACTCCCATGCCCGCCCTTGAGAAAGGATGGGTAGGTGGCCGGGCAGGCAGGCAAATGATACAGGAATCAGACCAGCAGAAGCCTGACTGAAGGGAGAGCCCCAAGTTAGATTTAGAAGGACGGGGACATGATTTGGCTTTATCAAGGCAGAGAACGAGGCCATCATGTGGGGGAAGAATGGACAGGAAAGGAGCAACGAGTCAAAAGCAGAATGTCTGAGGAAGAGCGGGGCTGGGGTGGTTGGGACACACACCTCCTGCACCCTGCCTGCCTCCCATGGTGCGTGGTGTCGACTTGTTTCCACACAGGGCTTCATTCGCCTGGACATGTCCGAGTTCCAGGAGCGGCATGAGGTGAGTGCCCTTCACGGCTGGCCGTTTGAGCCTCAGATAATCCCACAGCCTTGGGGTTTTCCTTTGGGGGCTCCTGATCTGTTTGACTCTGAAGAATAGAGAAGATCTACCTGCCCTCTCCCAGTAGCAGGCTTGCTGCCACCCCGGGGGAGAGGCAGCGGCTGTCCTGCCTGGGACAGGCCGTCCGAGTGTGTACAACGCCATCTTCCCACACATGCCTCATCGTGCAAACAACAGCACAGCAGGGCCTTGCTAGCCCCTTTCCTCCCTCCCCCAGGTGGCCAAGTTCATCGGGTCCCCGCCAGGCTACATCGGCCATGAGGAGGGTGGCCAGCTGACCAAGAAGTTGAAGCAGTGCCCCAATGCTGTGGTGCTCTTCGACGAGGTAGACAAGGCCCACCCGGATGTGCTCACCATCATGCTGCAGCTGTTTGATGAGGTAAAAGTCGTCTGGGCTGCGGGTGGGGGGACACCTGGAGGACTCTGGGCTGGGACTAGCAGGAGCCGAGGACCCGCAGGCCACCTGTCCTTCCTCAGCTTGATGTAGGGGCCAGGTGGCAGATGTGGCTGGGCCCCTTGGCTTGGCACCCAGGCAGGCTACTCAGAGGAAGCCCAGCACTACCTCCTAGAGGGGGCAAAGGAAGCGTGAAAGGAACTTGCATTTTTAGTTCCAGCTCTGCTCCTGACTGGCTGGGTAGCCTTAGCAATTCACTGTGACAAGGACGCTGGGGCAGGCAGGCTCCAGGCAGCTTGCCAGTGCAGCATTCTTGGGCTGCCCCTGTGTTGAACATGGATGAGGCTCCGGCCCCTCAGCCTGCACAGTCCCCTGCCAGCAGGGCTGTCCCGAGTGCCTTCTCAGTGCTAGACCTGGGCTGAAAACCTCACAGTTGTTACCAGGCAAGCTGGAAGTTAACCTCACCTTTTACAAGAAACTCAGGGTCGAGAGGTTGTAAATGCTGTACCTGAGGCTACGGAGCTGCGATTGGACAGCAGACAGAGCTGAGCCCAGAGCCCCAGCTCCCCCTCTCCTTGCCTTGAGCCGGGGAGGGCGTGCAGTCATGGGGAATGGTGATCTTTACCTTTTCCAGGGCCAGCAGAGCTGAGGGCGGTGCTGAGGACTGGGTTTCTCCTCCTCCCATGCAGGGGCTAGAGGAGGCAGCACCTGGCCAGGGACCGAGCCAGGGAGAGCCAGATCTCCCCTTGCCCTGCCAAGGAGGGAGAGGCCAGTCCTTCCACTCCAGCCTGCAGATGGGCTGCAGGTGCCCAGCTGGGGGCCAGTCGGGTGGCAAGGTGCTGTGGGAGTAATTGGCGCTTCTGTACTTTGTGTGCCTGGCACTGTTCTAAGTCTGCTTGCATCAACTCACAGCTGTGGAGACAGAAGTAAGGTGAAGTCAGTCGCCTGTGGCCACGTAGCTGGGAAGTGGGCAGCAAGGAGTCGAACCCAGGCAGTCCAGTACCACAGCCTGCATCTTAAACACCACGAGAGAGGGCCGTCTGCCAGGTGGCACCCAAAGGCAGGAGAGCCCCGTGCAGGGAGGTATGCCACAGCCAGGGTGGCCTCTGGCAGCCCTGGCCCAGGCTGAGGGGGCAGCCGCTGACTGAAGGCCACCATCCTCTGCTGCCCCCTCCCCTACCTACTACTTTCTGACCCTTGTAATTCCATTGACCAAAGCTGCCATCCTCAGGGCCCACCAAGTCAGGGGCAGAATCCAGCAGTCATTCAGCAAACCTTCCAAGGACGAGTGCCTGCAAGGTGAACGGAGGGAGAAGGGCTGGCAATGGAAGCCTAATGTGCCAAATCCCGGGGCCTGAAATGGCCTGGTTTGTTCAAGGCACTCCAACTGTTGGGTATCGCCTGACCCTGGGGAGCAGTGAGAGCAGAGTATAGGCCACTTCCAGTGCCCACAGAGAAGCGTGGGGTTCTTTGGTGGGTACTCTGGAGCCTGTGAGTTGAAACAAGAAACAGGGTCAGCGCTTCACTTTACAAATATCTTAGAGGCCGCTATGCAGATCCCAGAGTCCAGGCTGGCCCTGGGGCGGCCCAGTGGCCCCAGGAAGCACAGCTGCAGGCTGGTGAGGAGGCTGAGGCATGGCCCTGTTGGGGCCGCTAGACTGGGACATCCAAGAGGCTCCCCACGCTGTTAGTGGGGCTGGAGCTTAGGGCAGGCCTGGCTGACAGGCGCAGCTCTGTCAGCAGAAGCCACACAGGGCTGAGGTTGCGCGTAGAGGGAAGAGTTCAGCTGTGCAGAGGAGGAGGGGCTCACTGGAGTGGTCGGCAGCAGAGTGAGGCCCCGTATTTATTCGTGAGGTGCTGTACTAGTGGAAGCAGCAAGGGCACCTTCTACAAGCTGGGGCTCAGAGGGGAGTTCCCCGTCCCCCGCCCCCAGCCCAGATCTCCCAAGCCTGGGCCAGAAAAGCAAGGCCTTGCTTGTCACAGCCAAAAACCAAGCAGGACGAATGCTGGCCGCTTTCGCATGTCTCCAGAGACACCCACTTCTCCCCCCCTTCCAGATTCATACATGACACGGTGGGAAAGCAGCCCTGGAACCCTGAGGTGTGCATTTGAGCCCTACCCAAGCAGTACAGCATCTGGTTGGTGGTGGGAGGTGAGACTAGGCCAGCTCCCTCTTATACATCATTATTGCCAAGGAAACAGAAGTCACCCTTTGGGTCAGTCGTGCTCTGCACCTGCTCCCCTCGCCCACCTGGGTCTCATCCTCAGGCCCAGTTATGAGCAGAGCTTTGATCTCTTGGAATGAAATTGCTGCTGGGTTATTGCTGCAGCCGGTGCGGCAGTGTGTGAACTCGGTCCTCAGGGAGGAGCTCTGGGAAGTGAGTGGAGAATACACATGGTGTCATATGAATGTGCTTGGGCATGTCCCACAGGCACACAGACCTGGCCCCCAGCACCAGAACTGCCCTCTGTGGACTCTGTTGGCAAGAGCCCAAGACCATCCCCTTGCACCTTGTCACCCTTTTCCCACCCTGAGGCAGGGACAGGAGAGTGACTGGCTCCAGGACCTGGATTGCAGGCCTTTTGTGACTAGGCCCCTTTGGAACGAGCAGTTTCCATGGGGCCTGTACCAAGTGTTAGTGCAAGCTGGAGAGCGTGCCCAGCGCACAGTAGGTACAGGACTGGCTTTGCCCAAGGAGGATGGTTGGAGCTGTGCCTCCCAGAGAAATCCCAGGCAGGTCTGACCCTAGCTCCTGTCCCAGGTGCTTCTCTCCAGTGAAGATCAAAGCATATTGGAGGCCCCATGAGTGCCCAGTGCAGGATCCGGGAGTGTGGATGGATGGATGGATGAATAGTCGGACTGACGGTGCCTTGAGAGGCGCCAAAGCAGGAACAGTCTCGCATAGTGATACTCTTAGGAGGTGGTGCAGCTGAGGCCCAGGACAGTGAGCACAGGGGCGAAAGGGTGCTCAGAGCAGAGGGAGCAACTGGCCTCCAGGCTGGGGGAGGCCTCTGAGCAATGAAGCCTGCTCAAGCCTAGCACGCCCTGAACCCACAGTCCCTGCTCCCTGCCAGGGCCGGCTGACGGATGGAAAGGGGAAGACGATCGACTGCAAGGACGCCATCTTCATCATGACCTCCAACGTGGCCAGCGATGAGATCGCACAGCACGCACTGCAGCTGAGGCAGGAAGCTCTGGAGATGAGCCGCAGCCGTCTGGCTGAGAACCTCGGTATGGCATAGCCCGAGCGGTTTGGAAAAGGCCGTGAGGGCTCTCGGGCTCACATCGGGGGCCAGGTAGGGGGCTTTGTCCCTGCTGACACCTGGCACCATGTCAGAAAGTGGAGAGGACCGATGAGAGACAGTGCCCTAACTACTCTGCAGACAGGAACGGATCGAGCGCCCTCAGGGTCTTAGGGGCTAAGAGCAGCACACCTGACCAAAGACACTTCGGCGCAATGAGGGGCAGCTCGTCCAAAAGGGAAGAGCCGCTCCAGTGGGGTGGGGGGGCTTTCTGTTCCAGCCCGAGCCCCTTCTTCCCAGCCAGAACCCAAATCTGGATCCTGGCTCTTCTCTTCTCCCCCTCCCACCCTAAAGGCCCCCAGGCTGCGCAGCTCCCAGAGCTGGAAGGGACCGGGTCAAGGCAGGGCTGAGGGGCAGGCCCAGGGGAAGCAAACAGCTAGTGCTTGTGTCTTGCAGGGGACGTCCAGATCAGTGACAAGATCACCATCTCAAAGAACTTCAAGGAGAACGTGATCCGCCCCATTCTGAAAGTAAGAGCTCCTCTCCGCACTCCCTGCCCGAGCCTAGGGTGGGCGAGGGTCCCGTGACCCCTCATTCACCCCACCTCTAACCTGGCCCTGCAGGCCCACTTCCGGAGGGACGAGTTCCTGGGACGCATCAATGAGATCGTCTATTTCCTCCCCTTCTGCCACTCGGAGCTCATCCAGCTCGTCAACAAGGAACTGAACTTCTGGGCCAAGAGAGTAAGAGGGCATTTCCCGTGGGTGGGGATGGGACATCAGCCCCTGGAATGCTGCAGGGGGAGCCTGGGGTGGGGCCCTGCGCGCGCAGCCCATGTGCAGACACCCCTCTCTGTCCCCTCCCCGGCCCAGGCCAAGCAGAGGCACAACATCACACTGCTGTGGGACCGGGAGGTGGCAGACGTGCTGGTCGACGGCTACAACGTGCACTATGGGGCCCGCTCCATCAAGCACGAGGTGAGTGCCACTCTTCCTCCGTACCTGCGTCTCCTGGGGCAGGACTGAAAAGCCAGTAAACCCACAGCAGGCCGATTTTTAAGGTGATAGTTTTGTATGGCCCACGAATGATGTTACAAATATCCAGGTGGCCCTTGGCCAAAAAAAAGGCTCCCATCCCTGCACTTGAGTTTGGCTGCTGGAACTCTCCACAGCCAGAGCAGATGCTCTTTCTGAGCACCACACTCACGAGAGGATCAGGTGAAACCCTGCCGCAAGTAGGGATCAGAGCCTCAGGCCCTGATGCCACTGCAGGCTGGGTCTCATTACCTCTGTTTGCACATGAGAAAAGGCGGCCCAAGCCAGCCTCCAGGCTCAGGCCAAGGCCCCATGGCCACTGTGCGTCCCGCCGCCTGCAGGTAGAGCGCCGTGTGGTGAACCAGCTGGCGGCAGCCTACGAGCAGGACCTGCTGCCCGGGGGCTGCACTCTGCGCATCACCGTGGAGGACTCCGACAAGCAGCTGCTCAAGAGCCCCGACCTGCCCTCAGCCCAGGCGGAGAAGCGGCTGCCCAAGCTGCGGCTGGAGCTCATCGACAAAGACAGCAAAACCCACAGACTGGACATCCGGGCCCCACTCCACCCTGAGAAGGTGTGCCACACCCTCTAGCACCTCCCACCTGCCCTCCACATCCAATAAAGGCCCCACTGTGGCTTGGCACCCAGCCCGCCTCCCCTCATGCCTCCCTCCGCCCGAAGCAGTGTGGGCCCATAAGCTGCTAGCATGGCTCCCCGAGAGGAGCCACCTTCCCAGCCCGTTACGGCTGGGAGCGGAGAGCTCTGCCTCTTCACAGCATCCTCTCCCCACCCTGACCCGGCAAGCTCAGGAGTATGGCAGCTAAGGACGGATCTGGCTGGAAGCAAAGGGACCAGGCTGTGATGTGCCACCCTCCAGTGGCCTCGCACAGCGCAATCCCCACAGCAGCCCCCAGGCATGGGGGAGGGGTGCAAGGCTCAGGCCCAGACCCAGTTTAGGCTGTAGCTACCACTGTGCTCTAAGGGGAAGCATCCTTTCTGCTACCCACCATTCGCAGCCGTGTCCTGGGATCAGCCTGGGCCACGTAAGGCACTTCTAGGAGGGGCCTCCTCCAGCACGCAGACAGCAGAGTCGCTGGGAAGCCGCAGCAGGCAAGATCGGAAGGCAGGCTCTCCCCCAGGGAGCCTGCCCAAGCCCTGTCTGTACTGCCTACCCAGCCGAGTTGGGACAGGAACTCTATTCAGCCTGCATGTTAGTCACTAAGCGGAACGTTTGGATACAATGCCCCAAGTGCACCCATCTGAGCTTAGCAGGGCACAGCAAAGTCTGGTGCCTCCATGGACAGCCCCAGCTGTAGCCACCACAGGTGGCCACTCCAGGCCTCGCTTGGCCCATCTCCAGGGCAGAGATGAAGACCGCTGGGTGATGGAAGGAGGTCCAGCAGGGGCCCGGCCCCGGGGCTGTCAGCCGCTGCCTCCCTCCTTGACTGCCGTGCTCGTGGTGGGCGCTGCTGTTCTGTCACACACAGAGAACGGCAGAGTTCCCACGCGCCATCTACCCAATTTCTCCTATTAGTAACAACTTTACAAACCACACTGTAATTATCAAAACTCAGGAAGTCACACGGAGGCAGTACTACTCACCCGTCTACAGATACTCTGGGTTTCCTATGGGCTCCAGTGCAGGCCACGTTCCTGTCATCCCCATCAGCCTGTGGCAGCTCCTCTTTGTCTCTCGTGACCTTGACACTCCTCCAGACTGCTCATCTGTGAATGGCTCTTGGTTTGGGTGCGCCTCCTGTTTTCACGATTGGAAGAAGGTCTGCATTTTTGCAGGCTGACATGTTAGTGATGCTGAGGCCTTTTGCTGCCTCCCACAGACATGGTGTCTCACCATCCCAAGGATAAGGAGGTGTGTCCCGTTTTCTCCACTGTAAAATGTTTCCTTTGACATTAATAAAAATCTCCCAGTCAGATACTTTGATGCTGTGTAAATGTCTTATTTATCCTTAGAAGTATGCTGATTTTGGCATCCATCATCAGTGATTCTCACAAGTATTGATGTTGTGTTTGCTAAATGACGACTTTGCTTCCTTATTCCATCTCTGTCTCAACTGATGGTCTCTTTAAAAAAAAAAATGATGATGATTTGTTTATTTGAAAGGCAGAGTTACAGAGAGGCAAAGGCAGAGAGAAGATGGTCCATCTGCTGGTTCACTCCCCAAATGACTGCAATGGCCAGAGCCAGGAACTCCTGGGGTTTCCCACGCAGGTGCAGGGGTCCATCTTCTGCTGCCTTCCTAGGCCATAGCAGAAAGCTGGATCGGAAGTGGAGCAGCCGGGACTTGAGCCAGCACCCACGTGAGATGCCAGCATTACAGGCTGCGGCTTTACACGCTACGCCAGAGCACCAGCTCCTCAACTGTCCCTTTACCTCCATTTATTTATTCAACAATTTATATACTCTTCTCTACCTCTACCTCTGCTTCTCTAACTCTGCCTTTCAAATAAATAAATCTTTAAAATGGGCGGAGGTGGGGGCACTGTGGCATACCAGTTAAAGCCACCACCTGTAGTGCCAGCATCCCATATGGGCGCCGGTTCGAGTCCCGGCTGCTCCACTTCCAATCCAGCTCTCTGCTATGGCCTGGGAAAGCAGTGGAAGATGGCCCAAGTCCTTGCGGGGGGAAGGACTTGGGGACCCAGAGGAAGCTCCTGGCTTCCAATCAGCCCAGCTTCAGCTGTTGTAGCCATTTGGGGAGTGAGCCAGCGGATGGAAGACTTCTCAGTAACTCTGCCTTTCAAATAAATAAATAAACCTTTTAAAATAAAATACTGGAGCTGGCACTGTGGCGTAGCAGGTAAAGCCGCCACCTGCAATGCCAGCATCCCATATGGATGCTGGTTCGAGTCCCGGCTGTTCCACTTCCCACCCAGCTCTCTGCTGTGGCCTGGGAAAGCAGTGGAAGATGGCCCAAGTCCTTGGGCCCCGGCACCCATGTGGGAGACCCAGAAGAAGCTCCTTGCTTCAGATCGGTGCAGCTCCGGCCATTGCAGCCAACTGGGGAGTAAACCAGCAGATGGAAGATCGATCTCTCTCGCTCTTGCTCTCTGCTTCTCCTTCTCACTCTGTGTAACTCTTTCAAAAAAATAAATAAATCTTTTTTAAAAAAATACTAATAACACTTCTTTCATTGCTCTAATTGGCCCAGACTCGGCTACTGGGAACTCTTTCCAGCCAGTTCCTGTGTTGTTCCATAACTGCTCTCGACATCTTCTGAGTATCTCCTCTGGCACCATAGGACATTCTAGACTCACTCACACTGTTCTTGTTCCAACCCCGACATCAGGCATTTTTCCAAGAAGCTCCCAGTTCATGGATAAATGGGACTTAGGAACAAGTGGTTTCTTGGTACTGGGAAAGCAGGCTCTGGGTGCCAGGAGCCAGGTGTTCTCACCGAAACAGACCCAGGAGGCAGCTGTACACATTAGCACAGGCACACACATCTGGAGTAATGGTCGGGTCTCTCCTGGGTGAGCAGGTTATGAAAAATCATCGAGGGCTGGTATGGTGGCTAAGCAGGCAAAGCCACTGCCTGCAGTGCCAGCATCCCATATGGGAGCTGGTTCGAGTCCCAGCTGCTCCACTTCCGATCTGGCTCTCTGCTATGGCCTGGGAAAGCAGAAGCAGGTGGCCCAAATCCTTCAGCCCCTGCACCCATGTGGGAGACCCGGATAAAGCTCTTAGCTTCAGATCAACCCAGCTGCGGCCATTACAGCCATCTGGGGAGTGAACCAGCAGATGGAAGACCTGCTTTCCCTCCCTCTCTCTCTGCCTCTGCTTCTCTGCAACTCTGCCTTTCAAATAAAGATTTATTTAAAAGAGTTACAGAGAGAGGTAGAGACAGAGAAAGAGGTCTCCCATCCACTGGTTCACTCCCCAATTGGCCGCAACAGCTGGAGCTGCACCGATCTGAAGCCAGGAGCTTCTTCCAGGTCTCCCACATGGGTGCAGGGGCCCAAGCACTTGGGCCATCTTCTATTGCTATCCCAGGCCATAGCAGAGAGCCGGATCGGAAGAGGAGCAGCCGGAACTCAAACCGGTGCCCATATGGGATGCTGGCACCACAGGCGGCAACTTTACCCACTAAGCCACATGCCGGCCCCAATACCTACAGTTCTGATCAATGCCACAGTATTTGTGACTGCCTTTTTCATGACTGTACCATTATGTTTTCAGTTTGTTCCTCTCCTGTACACCTTTCCTCTCCTTTTATGTTTGCTGTTAGACTTCTCTTAAAAGCTCCAAGTCATTCAATAACCATCCTGAATGCAACATTCCTATTGGATAAACCTTTTTTCTTTTTTAAGAGAGTGCATCTGTTCCAATGGTTCATTCTCAATGCCCACAACAGCCAGGAGGTTGAAGCTGGGAGCAGGGACCCAACCATTTAAACCATTACTGCTGCCTCCCCGGGTCTGTATTAGCAGGAAGCTGGAGTTGGGAGCCAGAGCTGGGATCAGACCCAGGATGTAATATGAGATGGGGCCGTTTAATCAGCATCTTAAACACCAGGTCCAACACTACCTTCAGTGTGGCTTTGTGCCTGGCTGCCAGTCCCCCTGTTCAGTCAGCTGTGGCAGCAGCAGGCATATAAGTCTAGACCAGGCAACTTTTATACAAGCAAACACAAGAGGACAAACCCCAGCTGTTCAGATAGATGTTAGCTCCATGACAGGCTCTGACAGCATCTGGGGATGTCGGGATGGGTGGGCGGGCGGGCGCCGCAGCACACCAAGCTCTTCACAGCGAGCCGTGTGTTTGCCGGCTGCTTGTACTCAGGCGGTGGGCCTGCTGGGACAGGGGCTCTGAGCAGACTGAACAAGGTAAGACCCAGACACCTTACTGAAGTGCCTAGAATACTTGAAGCTAGACTTGTGATTGAAATGCATTTTATGTAAAAACCATGCATGGGTTGCAATTTTTTGCACCAAAATGAACATCTTTTGATTCCATTTTTCCGTATTTTTTGAGGTATCCTTATAATTGCTGAAGTAAACTTTATGTGCCCGGGCAGGGCCAGCGCTGTGGCGTAGCGGGTAAAGCTGCTGCTTATTGCACCTGTATCCCATACAGGCACCTGCTCAAGTCCTGGCTGCTCCACTTCCGCTCCAGCTCCCTGCTGACGGCCTGGAAAAGGCAGTGGAAGATGACCCAAGTTCTTGGGCCCCTGCCACCCACTTGGGAGACCTGGAGGAATCTCCTGGTTCCTGGCTTTGGCCTGGCCCAGCGCTGGCTGTTGTGGCTATCTGGGGCATGAACCAGTGGGTGGAAAATCAAACATACATACACACACACACACACACACACACACTCACTCACTCACTCCCCCCCCCCCCCGGCTCTTTCAAATAAATCTTTAAAAATAAAAAGTGTTCACAGTATATAGTCCAACTTGAAATTTGAATTTATATTTATTAATTATTTATTTGAAAGGCAGAGTTAGAGAGTCAGAGGTCTCTGATCTGCTGGTTCACTCCCCAAATGGCTACAATGGCCAGAGTTGGACAAGACCAAAGCCAGGAGCCAGGAACTCCATCCAGGTCTAACACATGAGTGGCAGGGACGCAAACATTTGGGCCGTCTTCTGCTGCCTTCCCAGGCCACATTAGCAGGGAGCTGGATTGGAAGTGGAGGAGCTGAGACTTGAACTGGTGCTCGTGTGTGATGCCAGCCTCACAGGCAGTGGCTTAACCAGGTGCACTGCAACGGCAGCCCCACACTGACTTTTGGAAAATTGAGGGGGCTGGCACTGTGCTTATCGGGTAAGCTGCTGCCTGCAATGCTGGCATCTCATATGGACACCGGTTCGAGTCCCAGCTACTGCACTTCTGATCCATCTCCCTCTAATGCACCTTGGAAAACAGCGGAAGGTGGCCCAAGTGCTTGCATCCCTGCACCCACGTGGGAGACACAATTGAAGCTCCAGACTCCTGACTTCAGCCTGGCCCAACCCTGGCTGCTGCCACGATTTAGGAACTAAACCAGCGGATGAGAGATCTGTCTCTCCCTGCAATTCTTTCAAATAAATAAACCTTTAAAAAAAAAAAAGTCAACAGCATCTATTTTTTCCATGATCTAAAAAAATTTATGTAACGAAGCCTAGAACACATCTCTGTGGAGGCTACAGGGATGTGTTCACTGAACTTTAGTATAAACACTCATGATTTGTGCATTTTTGCAAATATATTTAAATTTAAAAGTTTAATGAACACGATCATTTAAAAGAATACAGCTTTAACTGTATTTCCAGTTTCTTCAGTAATCAGCTGTTCTAATCAAGGTATATTTTAGCTCAGCATTTGCTGGGAAATAACTCATTTGCTCTAGTTTCACATTTGTGGCCAGAGTTCACCTAAAAGTTTTCTCTTCTCTATATCTGTATGTTTTTGTCTGATTTCTCATTCCTAACATTGTCATCTGGGGAGAGGGGCTCCCTTTATCAGGCCCAGGAAGTCTTCTCTACAAGGATATTTCAAAAAAATTCATGAAGAACGGAATTAAAAGTCTGTTTTGTTGCAAAAACTTTTGAAATCCATGCATATTCAGATGTATATACAAACTCAGAATGACAAGTATTAACACTTGGGAAATAGGGAAAGCTATACAGAAATTCTTTTTATGGGTTTTGGAACTTTTCTGTAAGTCAAATTCTTCCAAAATAGAGCTTTTTACATTAAAGGAGATTTGAAACATCATTATATCAGTATATGCTGAAAAGCAGATACTGGGAATGGGAGAGAGAGGAGGAGGTGGGGTGGGAGTGGGGTGGGAGTCGGGGATGGAGGGCTGGTATGATGGGAAGAATCACCATATTCCTAAAAGGTGTACTTATGAAACTTGTACTCATTAAATAAACAGTTTCTTTGGGGGGAAAAAAAGAAAAGCAGTGGATGACACTTTGTACCTTTAAGTATAATTTG